TGTGGTTCCATCAAGTCCTATTCTTGGAGGCTTCAATTTTATTTTCAGTTTACTTATTTTTCCATCCTCCAAAAGAGCCTATGAATGCGCCTCTGTGAGACACGGCTGCATAATTAAGTGCTTTCATGTTGAATATTTCTGATTCTTCAGATGAGCAATTTAAGTTAATTTCAAGACTAAAAAGAAAGCCTGAATATTAGGTTATCATTTGAAATGATGAATGCTTGTAAGTTCAAAAAATTAAAGATGTCAAAATCTTTATACCTTTTTTTTGTTTTTGTTTTTTCCCATCGATAGGAAAATCTTTCGGCAATTTCATTTATTGAGCTTTTGTTCTTCGTTGCAGGTACGACTGGTTGTGTAATAAGAAACTTCGAGATGGATACTTCTTGTGGGCTATGCTTGCTTATGGTTTAGGTATTGAATCTTCAAAAAATGGGAGTAAACTTATTTAGCGCAATATACTTTTGATTGTGACCAAATGGAACAGCATTTACTTGTTGTCAATAGATTTGCTTGCTGGTAGGTGTTTTCTATGTTTCATCCCTCTCTCTTTCTCCCTTCCCTTCACCTCTTTAATCTGAAATAGCAGGGGACTATCTCACAGAAATATGCAACTCGATCATGGTTAAGTGATTAGCTGCTGTCATGATAATCGGTTTATGCCCATTTTCCTACTAATAATAAATAATTCAATTGTAAGTGTTTCAGGCATTAGGCGAAGTTTGAGTAATGATATGTTTTCAGTGTCTGAGTTTGATATGTATGTCTTTAACCATGTCAAGAGAAGTTAATATGTTTTATGTGAACAGCCGAACTATTGCATATATATGATGTTTGAACATCCGTTTGTACTGTTGATCAGTGTTTTTCAAGATTTAGAACCAATAAAGTCTCTGTTTGCCTGTTAATTCTTTTTTTTCCTTTTACAGGTTTGCTCACAACTTATGTGGCATTGAATTTGATGGATGGTCATGGTCAACCTGCTTTGCTTTACATTGTTCCTTTCACACTAGGTATGTTACAAGAAGCACAAAAACCATCTCTCATAATGAAGCAGCCAAGCCGATAATGTTTGGTTCTAGTGGTAGTCTACCACTGTGCACTATAATCTACCACCACTAACACACATAGGGTCACTCCATGTAAAAGAAGTGAGAATTAACATCGGAACGGATGAGTGTAAAGAAATGGACCTTCAAGTCTAGATGCTAGCTTATGAGGTGAGGTATTATTATCCAAGTCATCATTTTAGGAGATGAAAATTTATTTCCTCGACTAATATAAGAAATTCTATCATCCTCATGCCAAGGGCCTAATATTATGAAATCTCTTTGAGAACTCTTCCACAATCTACAAGGTGTAAATTTATTTTGTAACATCATCCTGCACATGCAACTCGGTTATGGATTTACTTGTGGAGGGAAATTATTTTGGTAATTATTTTTATTCATCTTTTCTTTTTCTTCATTTGAGAAGTTATGAGACACCAGTTGAAAATGAATCTAAGAGTGAAGAAAGTTACGTTCAACAGGCTTAAGAGTGGGATTAGAGCAAAGTCAGTGTTCTAGATGGCTGAGGGAGCCCATAGGCATATGGGGCTATTGTATTCTGAGAGAAAGAAGCCTAGAGCAATAGAATAGGTTGGGGAGCAGTTGTGAAAATGGTGGGTGTTGGTCAAAGGTTATGAACGAAAAGACGAGGGGTACTAAGAGAGGAGAAGAATGAGGAATTCACAGTAGAGAGTACTACTCTGGCTCTTGCTCTAATACCATGTAAAGGAAATGACTTTTAGGTCTGACTAAACTCCAAAAGCTACCTCACAAGGGGACGGATGAGGTTTGCCCAAGTCTATATAAGTAAACCACTAGTCCATTCCCCAAACAATGGGACTCTAACCCCCACTCTAACACTAAACAATAAAAGCTGACTTTTCATTTTCTATGTTAGTGCGCATCACTTCTGAACATCTGTTATTGCTCATGTTAGGCACATTTTTGACGTTGGGAAAGCAAAGAGGTGATCTCAAGCATCTATGGACAAGAGGAGAGCCAGATAGGCCTTGCCCGCATGTCCGGCTTCAACCAGAGTAACTAGATAGTAGACGAGCCATCAATCTGTAATCCACGTATAACTCTGATTTTTCCATATACACGTTGGTGTACATAAGAGTAAAATCGTACAAGAGGGTGGAACTCTGAAGATAGCTGGACACTTTAGTAGACTGCCCTTGTTGTGAACGCCAAGCAGAGACATATCACTGCTTAGCAGAAATGCTGAGATGTAGAACTTGTAGTTTAAAGTAGAGTTGCTAAGTCGTGTACTGCCTGTGCACCTGCCAAGCTTCATGCCTTAAGCTGTTCAAATCCTGGCACCATCAGGCAGTAGCTGTTATCGTGCTTCTTCGGAGGAAGCCAGTGTGCAGTAATTTCATCCATAGTAGGATAAAAAAGACAAAACTTTTGTATAACTTGACTTGTTTTAGCTTACATTGTGCAGCTTTTGTACTAAACTTTTGAAGGCTGGTTCAGTGAACAGTAGATGTTATCTACTCAACTATGATTTTGTTTCTTTGAGCTGAAATCATTTTATTAGTGAGTTGTGTTTACACTTCTAGCAACATTATTTCTCTTAAGACTATTTTTACAATCTATTACAGACGAAATTGCGAGTGGTTTGAAACTTGAGACCCTCATGGCAAATATATTTTACACAACACATAAATTAAGCGATAATATATGTTCAAATACATATTATATATTTATCGATTGATTTGATATAATCGCTTGATATATTTTAAATTTTTTGCCACTAAAATAATGATTATGGTTGAGTTGCCAAAGGCCCCAAAAAACACAAAAGCAGCAACATCATCATCAACGGCATGTGCGACCGTTAGCGTTGAATTTCGTGAAATACCTTTTGAAACTTTCTCTAACGTACCCTTCTTTTATAGGAATAGTACGTTTTATGACTTCAAAGTTTTAAAAATTACATTCTGGCTACTTTAATACTTTTATTCGTCTGATATATTTTGAATTTCAAAATTTAAAGTTTTTCATATATTTTTTAAATTGTCAATTATTGTAAACTATAATATTTTTTACGTAATTTTATAATATATGAATCTCTTTTTAAAATTTTTTATATAAAAACTCTCTATTAAATTTAAATTGTCCGACTCTTGAAAATTAAAACATATAAAATAAATAGAGACGGGAGGGATTACTCCCTAATGAAGGATCCTTTTGCTTTTTTGCTTTTCAGTCCATGTTTTTGTTTTTTTCTTAATTTATAGTAGTATAGTATTAGATAAGGTGATAAAATAAAAATTTAAAGAGCTTCTTAATTAATTTAAATTTTGATTTATTAAAGATAAATTTTAACGTTATGCGATCATCATAAATTATCAACATACAATTATCATTATCAACCATTTTCATCCTAATAACGATCATTATAAACCATCAATCACCATATATAACAATCACGATCACATATTACAGCAATCACTCACTAGGACTCTGCACCAAATGATTTTGAATATGTGAATCAGCTTTTGTTAATTAATTAAACAGTTTAGATTTAAGATAAAACAAGATTAGCTAATTACATGGTGATTAATACAAATTGTGAAAATAAATTAAATTAGTAAAACTTTAGAAAAAGGTTTGTTTGTTTAATGGAAAATGAGTATGACAGCTCAACTGACCTGACCCCTCACTTGTTTCTCTTTTTATTACTTACATTTATCCAGAAACATCTAGCCTAATGGTGCTCTTTAAACTTTATCACACACAAAACTAAAGAGAAAAAAGCAAAAAATAATAATTATTAAAAAAAAAAAAAAAGGACCAAAGAGACAAATATACTTGAGTATGAAAAGAAGAACTTTACCTAAAATTAAACTTCAATCCCTAATTTCCCATTCTCTCTTTTTCTTCATGTCCTTTTCTTTTTTACATAATTTACACTTTACTCCACCCTTTTATTTCCTTGTTTTAACAGCTAAGCATTTACTTTACATAGTGTTTCAACTCATAGATTTTTTTTTCATATTGCTTTAAAACTAAAATTTAGCAAAACATTGATTCTTTAAGTAATTGTGTTTCTTGTTCCTATTTATGTCCTCATTGGAGTTAAAATAATAATAATAATACATTTACATAGCTAAAGTATGTATTTCTATACTATTAAGTCTCAACATTACGTTAAAATACAAAAATAACAATCACTATTTTTACTTACTTGACTAGAGAATTATATAAATCGCTTTGTAGTTTAGTTTAAAGTAAATTTATATTTTTTATAGATAAATTTGAGCGGAAATGGACAAATATCTCTCCGAAGTATCGTAAATGAGATAAAAAAAAATCTCCGTCATACTTTTGGGATATTGATGTTCCTGCCGGCTGTCGTTCAAAAACTAAAATCATATATACTCTTTATACTAAAAGACACACTTGTCATAATCTTTTCTATCGATCCGACATTTATTGACGGATATCATTTGCATCACATGTCCCTATTTAGTCTTTCGTTAGAGTGAAGGACATATATGTTTTAATTTTTGAACACCGAAGCATCAATGTCCTAATAGTATGACGAACGATACCTGTATATCATTTACAATAATTTGAAAATATATTATCCTTTTCTCCCCTAAATTTGAGTGTGATAGTAATATAATTATTTGTTATTTTGTTGGTAACTAATAAATTGCTATCAACAATTGGCAAATAAACCTTGCTTTGCTAATACAAAGAAGTCAAATTATGAGTTTTCTTTTCAAAAAGTAACACAATTGATAAACATGGAATGATATATATAGGCATAGGCTTAATTTTTTGAATTGATTCCAAAATTGTCAATTTCTCATAAATTTGATACTTGGTTGACAATATTGGAAACCTCAAGGGTCACAAATGAAAAAGTAAAAACAATATTTGTCAGCAAGGGAAAATTCCCTCTATAAAAAGAATCACCATCTCCACAATCTTGACAACACACAAAGCAAAAAGCTGTTTTCTTTGGCATAATTTTGAAGAAATTTTTGTAAAAATGGAGGGGAAAGAAGAGGATGTGAAGGTTGGAGCAAACAAGTATTCAGAAAGGCAGCCATTAGGGACTTCAGCACAGAGCAAGGACTACAAGGAGGCACCACCAGCACCATTATTTGAGGCTGGTGAGCTACATTCTTGGTCTTTTTGGAGAGCTGGGATTGCAGAGTTCATGGCTACTTTTTTGTTCCTTTACATAACTGTATTGACTGTTATGGGTTATTCAAGGGCTAACAGCAAATGTAGTACTGTTGGTGTTCAAGGCATTGCTTGGGCTTTTGGGGGTATGATTTTTGCCCTTGTTTACTGCACTGCTGGCATATCAGGTATACATATATCTCTCTTCACTCTTTTTTACATCCATGGTTTTTATGTATTCACCCTAAAGTTGTGTGTTTTGGCTTCAAAGATGAGAGCTTTAATGTGTTCTTTTCACCTACCTTAAGTTGTGTGTTTAGCTTCAAAGTTGTAGTCTTGTATCATGTTAGTGATATTTTACTTCAAAGATGAGAGCTTTATTTTTTTGTCCTTTTTACCTCTACTGTTCATTTCTGAAATTGTGTGTTTAGCTTCAAAGTTTGTCTTTTATCATGTTCATTAGTGGTATTTTGCTTCAAAGATGGGAACTTCAATGTGTTTTTCTGACTCATGTAGAAGGAATACAAAAAAAACCTATCAAGTTGCAGTCTGTACCAGCTTTTGAGTTTATTGTATCTAGTACTCCTGGAGTTTTATAAAAAACAAAATTAAAATTTCCTTTTGGACCATTTGGTGAACAAAAGATTCTTTTTTGGTTTTATCTTTTTGTATGTAATGTTGTTAATTGTTCCTTCTGTTAGAGCTTGATTAAATTCTAAGTAGTGCCTTTGCCAAAGATGGCCAGATCCTGGAGAATTTTTTTTTTTAATGGAGTGTTAAGTTTTATTAAGTCTGATTACTTATTAAGGCAGGTGACAAATAAATTTCTTTGATAAAGATTAAAATGTTAACCAAGTAAAACTGGTAATAACTTGCTAACATAGGTTAAATTACTATTAATAACTTGCTAACATAGGTTAAATTACTAAAATACTGCAAGAATCTTTATCTTTACTCGTGGCGAGGGTCTAGGGGTATGGTCTGCGTATACACCACCTTCCTCAGACCCCACTTGGTATGTCTTTGTTGTAGTGCAAGAAATCTTTATGCCGCTAACATATATAACTTGAGTACTTTTAAATTTGTTCTTTGTGTTCTTACATTGACAAAGTTCTTGGTTTTGATTGATCATCAGGTGGACACATTAACCCTGCTGTGACATTTGGTTTATTTCTGGCAAGGAAATTGTCCTTAACCAGGGCAGTGTTCTACATTGTGATGCAGTGCCTTGGTGCAATCTGTGGTGCTGGTGTTGTCAAAGGGTTCCAGCCATCTTTGTTTGAGACTAAGGGTGGAGGTGCCAATGTTGTTGCCCATGGTTACACCAAGGGAGATGGCCTTGGTGCTGAGATTATTGGCACTTTTGTTCTTGTCTACACTGTCTTCTCTGCTACTGATGCCAAGAGAAATGCTAGAGACTCCCATGTCCCTGTGAGTACTTGGTTGACTTCTCATTTCGAGTTTAATTAAATGAATATGTATGCTAACTCTTGGTTGTGTTTTGTAGATTCTGGCTCCTCTCCCAATTGGATTTGCAGTGTTCTTGGTTCATTTGGCTACAATCCCTATTACAGGCACCGGCATTAACCCTGCTAGAAGCCTAGGCGCTGCCATTGTCTACAACAAAGAACATGCATGGGATGATCATGTAAGTTTCCTATATTATTTACTTAATAAAAATTGTGTAATCCCACAAGTGGGATCTGGAGAAGGTAGAGTATGAGTATATGTAAACTTCACCCCTATCTTGAAAAGTTGAGAGAGGTTACGTTGTTTTTGATAGACACTCTACTCAAGGAGCTCCGAAACAGTTTGACATGCACGATAAGGCTTTTTAAATGACTAAGATGAGTTTAAATGGAGCTTTGACATGCACGATAAGGCTTCATAAATGACTAATATGAGTTTAAATGGAGCTTTGACATGCACGATAAGGCTTCATAAATGACTAAGATGAGTTTAAATGGAGCTTTGACATGCACGATAAGGCTTCATAGATGACTAAGATGAGTTTAAATGGAGCGACATACATGATAAGGATTCATAGAGCTAGTGACAACTTGCTTATCGATACGAGTTGCTAAACGATTGCCATAATTTTGTTTGTTTTGAAAATGCAGTGGATTTTCTGGGTGGGACCATTCATTGGAGCTGCACTTGCTGCCTTATACCACCAAGTTATCATAAGAGCCATTCCATTCAAGAGTGGAAACTGAGGAACACCTTGGCCTATTGGCTATAGCTATGTCTTATTTCAGTATTTGGTTACTTTGCTATGATTGACAATGAAGTTCATTAATGTTTGATTATCATGTACAAAAAGCTGTTGTAATGCTTTATTATTGTATTGGTTCTTCAGTTCATCTTGTTTATTCTGCCTTTCATTATTGGCATTGTTATTAATGTCTCTCTTTGCTTAGAGTCTTTAACTTTTGGTGGTGTGATTTTTCTTCATAAATAAGTACAGAGTAAATTTGTATGATATAAATTAATGATAACTTGGTTGAAATGACAACTCACTTGTTATTACAAGTGTAAAAATTTTGTTGCTACGTCAAGTGTGTGTATATATATACCTTGTACTTTATAGTTATCTGCAAATAACATACACTATGATACCTCATCTTCAATATGTTGCGTTAAAACATCCATCACCAAGTATATATATATTTATATAAATAAGTTAAATTCTATTGTTATAATGTAGCACATTTTAAAATGTTCAGAACATGTAAGGCATCTAAATAAAAAGAAAAAATGTGAACTTGAAAGGCATCTTTTTAAGTGGGCTATAGGAAAATTAGGCTAATATATAAATGGGCTAAGATTGGACATTGGATCCTTCAAAAGGAGCCCAAATTGTTTCTTTCTTTTCAGTTGGGGCCAGACACAAGAATCCAATAAAGATCAAAGGAAAAAAATGACGAATATGTCCCCAAACAATTATAAATGGTATGCAGATTTCCTCTGTCATACTGTTGGACATTGATGTCCCTGTAATCCAAAAACTAGAGCATATATAACCTTTTATACTAATGGACATACACATGTTATAAGATTATCCGTTGACCTAGCGGATATGATTGCACATGTTTCTATTTAGTCTTCCGTTAGAGTGAGGAGTATATATGCTCTAGTTTTTGGACGGTATGGACATCAATATCCCAAAAGTATGATGGATGATATCTGCATACTATTCAAGGTAGTTCGGGGGTATCCCAAGATTAAAATATTAAATATCATCCTATTTGAAATATAAAACATACAATTTTATGACACAAGGACGATATAATAGCTATAACTTAAATTCATACTCAAGAGATTTCATATGCTTCAAAAAAAATGCCATGATTGATTATAAGCTCGAATTTGAGGATTAAGTTATTTTTTCATGATTTGAAACTTGTTAAGTATTTAAAGTCAAGATGCACTTTAAACTAGATGAACCTGATTTGTGTATAACTTGAGACGAACTCGTAAACTTAAATAAACACATAAAAAATTAGTACAATTCCTATGATCCATATATGTATATACACACACACTCTAAATGGATCAATAATTAGACCATCAATCTTGTTGAGACGATCGCGAAAGAAATAGGAGAAAATAAATAAAAGGGACCAATAATTAAGTGAGGAGGCAAATGACATATAATATAGGTGGAAGTTGGTGGAGCTGTGAAGCTACTGCATCCATATAATATATATTTCTAATATATAACAATATGTAATGTGGAAAATATGTATGGTGGTGAGTTGTTGCATCTAATAAATTATTACTCATACATTAATGAATTTGCAACAAGAAAACATGGGGTCCTAGCTTCCTGATTCACTCCCCAACTACTTCTAAATTTTTCATTTTTCTCTACAGTCAATTACACTTCATGTCCTATGTCTCTCACCACCAATAATGCTATTGATTTCTTTCGTAATCAATTCAGAATTTAAAGTTTGTGGAGTTAACGTGATCACGATACTTTTCACCCAACTCTACTGCAGTAGGTCTCTTTAGTTGTTAAAACTCATATGCTTTGTTGGGTTTAGAATGACTAAAATAGACACCAAATGACTAAAAAGTCTTCATATAAATTAGTTTGTGAAAGAAAATTGGTACAAGTAAGCCTATGTGTAATAAATAGCTAGCCAACTACATGTACAAAAAGAAGCACCAACTTGACCTACTTATTAGACTTCCATGTGTTCATAAAGGTATTAAATTGCGAAGAATGGTAAATAATTTTTATTTTCAATGAGAGATTTTAAATTTTAAGTATTGTAGATACAAAATTTGTTTTTATCATAAAGACGCTTTACCTTTTTTTTTTATACTGTAAACTTTTTGACACGAATTAAATTCTATCGAATTCGAGATTAAAAAGAAAATGAAGGCACCAAATGTTGATATAACTATTTAAGACTACATGCATTCTACTTTCAACTTTCTTCTTGAAATGGGAAATTGATATGCTTAAGGTTTCTTGATATAATGGAGTGTGTATATTTTAGTCAATTGGTTCTGCCACCTCACCCTCCCCCCACCCCGACCCCATTCCCAATATTTTGTGTTGATAATAATATTTAAATACTAAAAAAATTACTCAATTTTCATTGAAATGTTACATTTATAAATATTCAATTGTTATATGCACAGATTTTTTAATTAAATTAGTGAGAAAAATGTTTATTGATTCTTTCTATAATACTTTCTCTAGCTCTTTTTACTTGTCCACTAGTGAATTGACGCACCTAGTAAGAAAATAATGAATGACATAGTGAGTTTACCATTTTACCCCTATTAAGTATGAAGTGGATGAAAAGTTATACATTTTTCAAAGTAATTAGTCAATTAATTGTGGGTATAATAGGTTAAATAAATTATTCTTTCTTGATTTATCAAAATGGACAAGTAATTAGGGACAATTATAAAAGAAAAAGTGGACAAGTAATTAGGGACGAAGATAGTATTTTAATTGAATCAATGAAAAGAAAATGTTAGTAACTAAATTCAATATTTTAACGGAAATATATTTTTACCCTGCAATTTTTTAGTCATGAGTTAATTTGAAAAAAATTAAATGAAAAAAAGGCCCATTTTATAGCACAAATTCTTTATGATTCATCTCATTTTTACAAATGAATCCTCCGTAGTTTGACAAAGAAAAAAATAAAATAAAAACATCCCTTTATTCTGATGTTTCATCACACAGAATAAAAATATAACTCGAATATCATTTTTTGTATTTATTTGGCCCTCCAATTTATCATATATTTCCCCAGAACTATATATGGAGAATATTCAGAAAGAGAAAGTGGAATAAAAATTTCATATTCTTAATTGCTACTATAATATTCATATAGTTAATGATGTTTAGTCTCTAAAAATAATTTAAGGATTAAATAATTAAGGCTAAAGATCAAAATTCAAATATACATGAAAAAATTATTATATTTTCTTTGATATATTAAAAGTTATATATAAAAGTGAAAATTTGAAAATAATAGATAAGTAAAAGTGAACCGATAAAATAATTTGTCCATCTTAAAAGTTTCGTAAGAGATAAATAAGTATTCTTAAAATATATTTTATTTATAATTTTTCAAGAACTATGTAAAAAAAAAGTAGAAAACTAATATAAAATAGGAAAAATTGTATATAATAGCAAACTAATAACCTAAATTAAATGGAATAGCTAGGGTTTGATTTAATTGTGCTCCATAGCAAACATTAGCTAAAATTTGTCAGCGTCTCTATCCCAAAAATCTCGCTCGCCACTCTCCATTCTCGCTCGTCTCTCTCGCTTTATACACAAAAGTGTATAATTCTGTTTCTGTTTTGTATAATGCGAGAGAAAATTGTATATACACATGCAAAAATGTATATCTTCGTGTTATACACTTAATTATACAATTTACAAACATTTTACTTCAAATATTGCAGAGAAAAAAGCCAACAAATTATACGATTGCGAATTATACAATTGCAGTAAAATACAATTTTCTCTAGCTTTATACAACAGAAGTGTATATATTGTGTTTCTGTTTTGTATAAAGCGAGAAAAACATAAATCTTTTTGCTATACACTTATAATTATGCAATATACATACATTTTAATTCGATTCAACTGTATGCAAAATAAATTATACAATTGCAGCGAAATAGGCCAGCGAATTATACAATTTAGGTCAGCGAATTATACAATTGTATATGTATAGCAAATTATACAGTTTTATGTTTGCTATGGAGCGCAATTATGCAAAGTTTACTATAGCATACAAATATGAATTTTTTATTTGTTATATGTGAAAGTTACCCTGTAAAATAAACGGAGTAATGCTCAATTATTTACTTGGATTACTACTTCAAGCTATTTGGCCAAAAAGCTTAAGTTATCAATCCATTCCAAAAAATAATAAATGGCCACCAAAAATTACAGCTTTGCAATTAATAGCACAACTAAATTAGGAAGAAATAATGAAATTGAAGGACATAAAAGTCTAGTCGGTTGAGGAAGTGAGTCAAAGAATTGTCCCAAATCACACACAACAAATTGCTTATATGCTTAGCAACCATAGACTAAAAAAAGATAAAAAAAAATATTATTCCATATTTACGTCAAATTAATAAATGTATAATATTAATAACAAACGTTCCCATACCTGTATTAAGTTCGTGACATTATTACAAAACTTGCATAGCTGGGTTCTTTTTTTCATTTTTCATTTATCATCTTTTTATCGCCTTTCATATAACAATCCAATTTACAATAATATTTGATTAAGAGTGTGTTTGATATAGAAAAAATATTTTTTTTCACTTATCAAATAAACTTGTAAATTATTTTCGGTAGATGAAAATAGAAAAATAAAATTTATAATGAGCGGTAATCTGCATTGATAGTGTTCTTCGTGCATTTTTTATTCATATATTAGACATTTTTTTTTTTTTACTTATATTCATATAAAACATTACGCCTTGAATATATGAATATGTTTCGAATTTTTGACCTTCGTTGACACATTTCATATTGATTTGTTCCTTTCTTTCTTTCCTAATTTAACTACTTTTGTTAATCAAAGTTAATTAACCGTGATTACTCGCCAAAATTTTTAAACACAAGTTTCACTTTAATAAACAGAAATAACTTGCATTCAACCAAAACAATTATTTATTCACCAATTTAACTTCTGATAGTATAAATATATTAACTTTATTTCAATAACTGTCTTTTTTTAAAAAAAATATATAATTTTTTTTATCTTGATAACAATAATTCTAATTAAATTGGATAAATAAAATTTGAAGAAAATAAATGTAAGTAATTGTATGTGTTTCTAATTTACATTTCTTTACGCATAATACATAAATATGTCCTTTCACTTTATCTTATTTATATTTATGCCCTTCACTTTTATTTCTGTACAAATAGACACTCAAACTTGTACAAAATTGAATAAATAGACACATAATTTTAATGTGACATAAAATACGTAAAACACTACGAGAATGTGAATGTGTGTATATTTATACAATTTTATATAAAATTAAAGTGCATAAATATAAAATAAGAACAAAGAATATCTTTTTTTTTTAATTCAGACTTGTAATAATGT